TTTTTTTTTTTTTTTTTTTTTTTTTTTTTTTTTTTTTTTTTCAGCCATGGCACAAAATGTGCAGGTGAAGTTGCAGCTGAAGCTAATAACGGAATCTGTGGGGTAGGGGTGTCGTTCAACGCTAGTATTGGAGGTGAGTCTTACATTCCCTGTTGAACAGTATCAGGTAGTGAATACATTTATAATTATATAACGATCTAGGCCTCTTCCTTCCCCGGCTCAAGAAAGGTTTTATTTAGGGATGGCTTGTTCTCGTTCATTAAAATTTGTCGTAAAAGAGAAGAGTGGATGGTAGTTTGAAAGCTGTTCTTCTTCATTCCACTAACCATTGAAGTATAGGGGACTCACTACGAGTCATGGATGCGGTGTTCACGTTGGTTTGTGCTTGCCTTGAGTAAAGTCCCGTAGAGAAACGAACGGCTTGTTAAACAAAATCCATCGATTGCATGTCATGATTTTACGCAGGCATTCGGATGCTGGACGGTAGAGCTACAGACACAATTGAAGGAAGCTCTCTAAGCTATCGCTCAGAATACATCGACATCTACAGCTGTTGTTGGGGGCCGAAAGATGATGGCAAGCGATTTGGTAAACCTGGTCATCTTGCAAGTAAAGCCCTCCAAATTGGTACTCAACGGGTAAAGTTATTTCGTTTCACAATGTTCTAATTTGCATAATTCGGTAACCTGAGAGTCAGCTTGACTTTGGATGGAAAGGTCAAGCTTTTCCTGAGGTCACTATACTTTGTTCTTGATTAAGACAATCTACTCTCACAGTGTCTCTCTAGATCCACCCAGGAGTGTAAATAGGTATCGGCGAATTTACCTTAGCTGATCCTTTAGGGAGATATTAGAAGCTAATCAAAGGTCAAAGGGTTGACGTGTGGTGAATAAGCTTCGCGCCAAGGTAGAAAGGCAGTCAAGAGTGAATTATTCGTTGCTTCGCGCTTCTTACTGGCCCCATGTGAAGACTTCGAGTCTCATTAAAAGTTCTATTTTTCACCCCAGGGTCGCGGTGGCAAGGGCAGCATTTTCGTGTGGGCGACTGGAAATGGAGGTCTTACAGATGACGACTGCAATTGTGATGGCTACACTACCAGTATATACACCATATCGATTGGCGCCATTAGTGACCATGGACTTTCTACATACTACACGGAGACTTGCGCGTCAACTCTAGCTGTCACATTTTCTGGAGGATCTCATAGAGAAAGTGATGAGAACAGAGTGGTAAGTCACTTGAAAATTACCCGCACGTGATACAGCATTTTTGACAAGTCATTAAGACTTCACAGTGAACAAAACCTACTTGGATCTCTTGAAAATTGCCATAATATGTAAAATGTAAATTTCTTCTCTCCTTTAAAGGTCACCACTGATTTGCACCATAAGTGTACTAAGGTATTCAAAGGAACTTCTTCCGCCGCGCCGCTGGCAGCAGGAATGTTGGCTCTAGTATTGGAAGCAAAGTATGTTATATAGGTTAAGCTACTGATCTGAGTCATGTGTGATTGTGTTTGCGTGTTAGACAGTTATACACTGCGTTACGTCGGTTAATAAATTAAACAACCGTTCCGTCTTTGTCCTCGATTGGTATAGTGTCTTACAAGTCGTTTCCATCGAAACATCTCGCTTCAAAGACAGGTTTTCTGGTGGAGGGGGTGGGGGAGGGGGGTGGGCGGGTTGTAATTAAGGGCGGGAAGGGAAAATTAAAATTGGCATAATCATGAACACCCTACACCCTAATCGATAGTAATGGAGGAAAACGTATGAATTACTTACTTGTGACTGGACTTAATTTCAGCCCCACGCTAACGTGGAGAGATGTACAGCACGTGATAGTAGAGTCCTCTCAGGTAACAAGTCCATTGGATGAAGGATGGAAGACCAACGGTGCAGGAAAAAGATACAATCATAAGTTTGGCTTCGGTAGATTAGATGTCAATAAAATGGTGGAGAAGGCGCTGAGGTGGAAAAATGTCAACAGGCAGCGTATCTGTCATGGTGCTTCCCACAGTAATAAAAGGTCTGTCAACGTTCTTTACTAGGTCCTCGTACTTAGTAAACATAATGGTCTAAGAAGGTCATGCTTTCTTGCCGAAACTGAACATATTGATAATGATTGAATTGTTGAGAAATGACTTTGGAAAAGATCATTTTTCAACATTTAAAGCAATAGTACTTGTCAATATCAATGAGTAAAGTAACTGCAGATAGATAATTGTAGCCACGATTTGCTGTGAATCGCACAGCATGCAGTCCTATCGCAAATTAAATGCACCACAACAAATACCAGAAATTTGCTTAGGGAGGTCTCATGTATAAATGTCAAAGAGGGAGTGGGAAGTTTGGGTAGCCCGGCGATGGATCAGCATCTCAACTAGGGGTTGTAGCCATACTTCTTGTCCTATCATGCTTTTGGGACCGGTATTTTGGACAGAATTTCCCTTTCCAAACTTCCGGGGTCTCAAAAGTTGTCAAAAGCACTTATCAATGCTATGCTTTGTTAATTCAAACCTTGACAGATTCATCCCAAACTCTGGTAGTCTGCTTCTATCAGCAAACACGTCATCGTGTTCAAGCACCCCCTCCGAGATAAGACGACTAGAGCACGTGCAAATAAACATCACGTTACATCACCGTCACCGAGGAGATCTTAGTATTACTTTAATCTCTCCTTCCGGGACACGGAGTAAGATGCTTACAACTCGGAGGAATGATCATTCGGCGCTTGGACTCAAGGTAGTCTCTTTTACAGCCACAGCATTTCTTAATTCGAATAACCCCTATTAGTTAGAGTTACGTGATGTACACTTGGCCATGAGCGAGGTTGAAAAATGGGACGCATTAGCACGATAATAAATGTGTGTTCTCTTATTGATTCGGGGAAGGGATGAGTGTATGATTATGGAAACCAATAAGATGGCAGGTATGAAACCGATACGACCATTCAACCTATTCAATTTTTGGTTCAAAACAGTAAAATGTGTGCGTTTACCTGTGATGTTGATAGGATTACAGTGTCGATGAAATGTCAATTGCAAAACCTTTGGTGCTTTTGCATGTTCGCGGGTTTTAGGAGTACGAACTAATAGAGAAATATTCTGCATTTTGTTGTTCTCGTGTCTTTGGCCGATTAAGATAAAATGAAAACAAAAGATTGGTATTTGTACTTCTCTGTTAGATCGATTGGCGAATCCTGCGGTGGCGAAGACCGTCGTGAATGTGCATCGGAAAAAGGCGTTCGGGGTTGAATTATCGCTCATTTTAAAAGATACTTATTGTCTTCTGCTTGGTTGCTAAGGTTTCAGTAGATGCATTGTTATTCAAAAAACTTCCTAAACTACCTTTGAATTGCCTCTGAAACCATTTGACACATGATCTTGTTTTCACAGAACTGGCTCTTCATGACAGTCCATTTCTGGGGTGAAGACCCCAGGGGACTGTGGACTGTGGTAATCACTGACAATGATAACAATAATCGTGAACATTACTTGAAGAAACACTCACGGGGAGATGAGGAAGATGTTACCAGGATCTTCTTGGACGAAACTGGGAAACATGGTGAAATGCAAACTGATGATCAGATGGACCATGCCCAGGACCACATTATGAAAACGATGGAAGATACAGCCGGGAAAATTTTCAGAGGAAATAGATTTACTGTGTCCTCTCGTGGGAAGAAATTACAGCATATCCACGATAAACCTTCTCTGAGAGTGATTCACAAAAAGGTTTCGAAGAAAAATCCATTCAATAATGCAGCAAAACTTCATCGTACGAAAGTGAAGGAGGGTAAATTAGCTCAGTTTAAAAAGCATTACCTGAAATCCAAGGCAAAAGGCAAAGTTAAAACGGGTAAAGGAAAGCACCACTGGACAGGGAAAAACAGTGATTCAGGCATTGACGCTTTCAAAGGAAAACATGTCGGAGGAGCAGCAAACAAGCACGCTATGTTTAAGAAACTTCATGCCAGAAAAATGTTCAACGAAAACCAGGGAAAGCTTAAAAACACTTTGGTAATAGAAGACGACAGGGAAAAAGGAAAAAAACCTGGTAAAGTTGTAAGCCAACGGTTAAATGTGACTTTAAATATGGCCCTCAAGGCAGCAACGAATCAGAGCACATCTGTCGCTAGTATATTGGGCAAGTCTGAAAATGCGACTAGAGCATTTAGGCTTATATCACAATTGATATCTGAAATTCAGAAAAATCCATTGGTGTCAAAGATTGCCGCGGAGGCGCTGAAAAATCCTGACATAGGAAAATTATTTGGCATTGAGTCTTCCAAAGATGTTCTCGAAAATATTCAGGAAACAAGCTCACCCATGAACAGTATTAATCAGCATAAAGACGATTTTGAAAATAAAACAAAAAGTGATGTAAAAGATTCAGAAATGGAAACTCGTATTGCTGAAAGAGCGAACGGATCAGTCATAGCAAGTGGAAACAAAACGTCAGACCATTTTGAAACTGCCAAACAAGGAACTATCAATTCAAATAAACACAAGCACATTCAGTTCTTTAAAATACTCAAAGATAACCAAGATCACAAAAGTGATATTACTGCAAGTGGAATGGATGGGAGTGGAGGTTTGGAAAGTGGAAATTATGTTGACGAACGTGGTTCCGGAGACTTGAACTTTGGAAAAATTTTGAAAACTGGAATTTCGGGATGTAAAGGATTAACAAACTGTAGTGGCACCAGCGATGAGCAAGCGTCCCTTTCTGTTTCCAACAAAATAACGGCGCAAGGTCGAGGAGAAAATGATGCGTATGAGATATATAGTGGCGACGAAGATGACAGCCAGTACAGCGAAAGTACTGATGATGGAGGTGAAGTCTTAGAAAATGACAAAAACCCAACTGTACTAGAGAATGATGACGATAATGACGATCTTATCCCAGAATTTGGGTTTAATCTCAACTCCATTGACCGAGACACCTCAGATTCTTGTAATTTCTCGCTGGATTCTAGCAACGCATCATTGGTGGTTCAAAAGGCACATTGTCTAGAAAACAGCACAATGGAAAAACGTGCCGACATAAGAGATGCAGAAGACAAAAACCTAGCTCATTATTTAGCAGTTGATAAGCTTAATTTAGCGTCTGGGGAGGACAGTGCAGACAACATTGATAGTCCAGAGGGTAGCCCTTTTAAAAGTAAACTAAAAAGTGATCAAGATAATTCAGATGTAAAATACGACGGCAAGGATTTGGAGGTTTTGCAAGAAGCGTTAGAAAATCAGCTGTCTCGTTTATCGAAGGATCCAGCCTCTGAGAAGTCAAATGCTGAAATCCTCGCTCGTGTTCGGGATGATATCAAACACGGCGACATCGACGACTTAGAACTTTTAGAGGCACAAATTACGGGCGGTAAAAATGAGATGTCTAGAGATGTAAGGAGCAGAACACCACAGGATAATGACGATGATGATATAGATGATAATGATGATGACAACAGAGGACAACGTGGAGGATTTGATGAAGAAGATGAAGAAATAGAACGGAGAAGGATCTCACGTCAAGCAGATAGTGAAAAATTATACAAAAGTTACTATGTTGACCCGGATAAATATGGCAAAGATAATTCCGGAATATTGGAGTCCTGGACTTTAATATTGTATGGAACTAAATGACAATTTTTATGACAGTTACCTTTGGTTATTCACAGATTAGAGGAAGAAATTCAATTGACTTTTTTTTCGAGCTCATGAAATTTAACTAAGGCTCGTTGGGCCTGCATGACACAACTAAACAATATGTGTTCCCGTTTTGGGGGGCTTTGATTGAATCAATTCACGGTTTTACATACATATCCGAATGAAGAAATAAAGATTCATGTGTTTCTGGTGTAACGTGCTTTAAAAGATTCTTCCACCTCGGGTTAATTAGTAATACAAGTGTGGGTTATTTTCACTGTTGATAAAGGCTAAGGACACATCAACGTATCCTACAAGCTTTCAAAGCTTGATGATGAGCCTTCCCTGTTAAATATTCCCCGAGAACACTCTGCCACCTTCGTAAATATAGGGCGTCTGTTTAGTCGTAATCACAGCTTGTAGAAAACACGTTCGCGAGCAGGATCCCTCAGGTGCTGTGGCGAGAGGCAAGTTTAAGCCGGTTAGATGGCCACAAGGGGTTTGGCACGAAAAACGAGGCCCAATTCTGGCTGATTTTATTAGCGTATGTTTCCCAGTTTCCCCCATATTATAGAGCAAAAACTTCCCCTCTTTATCAGCATCATTACTTATAGACTCTTATTTAATATTGCTCAGTCTTTGTATAGGAGGTGTCCTGATAACAGCAGTAATGACTACCAGGTTTCTAAGGAAGTCGAAGATGTAGAAAGGGACATTAATGGCGCGAATAAGGACGTTGTTAATGAAGGCCTCATATCGAATCATTTGCGCTTTGAATCATCTCTTCACTTTAAGAGGCAAAGTAAAAATTAAGTACAAAAAAACATGATTTGTTAGCCATTTTTCACCGCATTAATTAGTAATATTTATTACTAATTAAGACGGCGAAAAATGGCTAACAAATCATGTTTTTTTTGTACTAACTGGCGTTCGCCACTATCGAGTCGCCTATTTGCATTTCAAGACAATATTTTTGCATTGAATGTTTCACTTCAACATAAGTTAAATTAAATGTCTCCTAATCCTTGTAGAAAGCCGTAACGGATGATTAACTCCCATTTGACAGAGAATTCTCTTGATTTACCATTCTTCGGATTGCTTTTGAAATGCACTTAGAGACGATCTTACACCAATTTAATTTCAGTTTTCTTGGCTGAATTTTATCAACTTATGTTTTCCCATTTCCACCATTTTCAAAAAACTGAAGTCACTTCAGTCACCCTGCGGCTAATATTTGACTTAAGATTTCTGATGTTTTAGATGAAAGAAAGTTTACGTGTTATTTGATCCCCATACTTTATTACCTTTGATTTTGTGTCTGGGGTTCCAGTTACTTGGGAAGGAACGCATGCAGTTTACATCAAAAACATTACTTACGAATTAGAAATCGTTTGAATCTCCTGTCTAAGGATCGGTGTATTTTTAGTGGAAAGCGTACGTTAAACGAGCGACCAAGCGCAGACTTCGCCGACTTGGTTGATAATACTGAACTACCAAACGGAAAAAATTGATTCGCTAGTAAAGAAAGTGAAATATAATTACCATCAACATTTATACTATCAAAGAAGGCAGTGGCTATTCCGAGCCAATCGGTTGAAAAGAAACAAATGCAACCGTAAGCCCGATACTAATGCACTGATGGAGATGAAATAAAAAATAAAACATTTCCCATCTTAGTGAACAGAAATTTAACGTTTTATACAGCTTCTGAAAGCAACCAAGTGAAATGAAACATTTTGTTTTCCAGATGTGATGGGAACAAAGTCATATAAGTCAATGTAAGTTCTGCCTGGGGAAGGTAATTAAGACCGTGCTGAATGTCTTTCTCGTTGAGTTCAAAAGTAATCGAACAGTTGTAATTTTCTAATAATTGTGAATTTTTAATGAATTCTTCGTTCAATTCTGTTAACTGGGCGGCTTTCATTTGTTTATGCATTAAATTATGGATTACGAAAAGATCAATGCAATCTATATTTTGTAATTAAATCGAGGGTCGTCAGATAAAAGTGAACTAACTCAGCCTTCGGTGATCGCGATTTCACAGATGATTTAGGTGAGTATCATCAAAAAGGTGTAGCCAGTAAACGTTTTCATCTGAATAATAATCTGATTGAAATGGTAGCCTCGACAATTTCGTTCGTGATTTACACGAGACATATGTTTCGATATAAATGGGAGTAATCCGAATAGCGGTAATCCAAGTTAATTCTTTGTTCTTAGACCTTACCTGAGCGTCGATTATCTATATATTCATCAAAATATGAATTTATAAAAAATATATTTTATAGCTTAAGAGGACTGCAACTTAGGAGTCAATTGAGTCTCGTCAGATTAGAGCGAACCAGCTCGGTCTTCGGTGAACATCAATGCTCATTTAGGTGAGTATCGTCTAAAACAAATATGGCCAGCGAAGGTTATATCTGCGTAACAATCTGATTGAAATGGTGTCCTAGATAATTTTTCTTGCGTGTTACGTGAAACATTTTTGGATTCAAGACGATTTTTTTTCTCTTTTCAAACTTTGACTTCTGTCGGATTTTCTGAATTCCGAGCTCCATTAAAGGCATTCAATACAATTTATCAGACTTTTCCCCCCTTAAATTTAACTTTTTGATCCTATTTCTCAACAAGCATTAAAGTCAAATGGTAAAGCCTTTCCAAACTCGAGTCTCGATGTTTTGAATCAATTCGAGGTTATTCGCAAAGTGACCTGATTCGAAATATGAAGTGATAAACACCAATATGTTTTCAGTACTGCTCATTAGGAAAAAATAAAGAAGATAACTTTCCCATAATTTAAACTTCGTTGTGCTTCTAAATACTTTGAATGTCGCGTAGTAGGAATGACTCAATTTGTGGCTTGGCCAAATAGGAAAAAATACAAAAACAAAGAAACAACACCGTCCCTTTAAAAAAAAAAAAAGGAGTCCACATTTTCACGGTCAATGTCCCTTTCTGCATCTTCACTTTCCTTGGAAACCTGATCTTCGTTACAGCTGTTATCCGGACAGCTTCCGTTCAAACATTACACCTGGAAGGACCGAAGAAGCAAAGTGTCACATGGCGTAAATGGCGTACAACCTATTAATGTAGACATTAAAGAATTGGTTCATGCTAAGCGTTGCTTAGCGTGCACATATCGAGTTGTGGATGCACACGGGTAGTTCGGAGAGCACGAGAGAAGCGTGAAAGTTGCTCGAGGAGCAGCCGAGAGCAACTTTAGCTTTTGAAGTGTTCTCCAAACTTTCCTCGTACATATATAACTAAATATACGCACAGCTAAAAGCATAAACCAAATCTTCCTAATTAACAAAGCGGATGCAACTTGTGCTTGAAGAGAAAGAGTTTTATACGACCACAACGATCAACTGAAATAATCTTTGACTGGGTAAGCCAAAGCAAGAACTTTCGTGTGGGTCCAGCACAAAGTCAGTAGACAAACTAAGCATGTCCACTGGAAGTTAGACAAGACAGTCACAATTTGGAAAATCATTGCGATAGCTTAAACCAAATAATTTCGGACCTTGAATACAAATAGTAACTATAAACGCTTAATATAAACAAATGACAAAATCATACTTAACTGACTACAATATTTCGTTATACCTGTATTACATTCGTTACTCATTACGCCATTACTCAAACATCAATCTTTGACTTTTCATCAGAGACCAATGGCTAACAACGAAACTGCAAGTATCATCTGCAGCAGTCCCGTGATGCCTCGATTCCCCAGTAACGACACCAATCTCCTCATAAATGACATAATTCTTTGTATCGTCAACGTTCCTTGCTGCATCTTCGCCTTTCTTGGAAATCTGGCTGTCATTATCGCTATTGCAAAGACACCATCCTTACAAAGACCGAGCAATATTTTGCTGTGTGGTATGGCCACTGCTGATTGTTTGACCGGTTTGGTGGCTCAGCCGTTGTTTGTTTTACAGGCTTTGATGATTCATCGCATCCACGAGTCTTGTGGCCCAGAGTCCACCCTGTTTATAGCCTATAACTTGAGTCAAATTGGCTTTGTTGGATGGTCTTTGGTGAATATCACTCTCATCAGTTTTGATCGCCATTACGCGCTTTCCAAGCCTGTAAAGTACCGTACTAACGTTACTAAAAAAGGTGAGTTTCTAAATCATTTTAAGCCGCAGACATGCTAGCCATCGCCTGTTACAGTAACCGGGTCTTTCAAATAAAGTATTCAACACGCGTCCAGTTCTTTAAATGGCGAATAACGCTATCAAACGGATAAAATCGATATCCAGCAGATAAGACCTAAGAAAACGTACTACGCTATCCATACACCAGATAGAGATTTATCCAGTAGATAGCGTTAACCACTCTTTGAACAACCGCGACCAGAAGTCCAAGTAGAGATTGACAGATTCTTATTTTTTTGGAAAAAATCTCTCAAGGATCTTGATATTGAATGTGGTCCCCTAATGCGTTCCACCATTTTTTGTCGAAAAAGCCATGCTCTGGTTCTACTCATTCATCGTAGCTATCGATGGGGCTAGATTTTCAAGTTGTAAATTTTATGTTGATTTCCCAATAAAGTTCGTGAAAGATTTCTCCTGAGCTCGAGCGGACCCAGGCTAGGTTATCAACAATTTTCAACAACACAAGAGCTTCCTGTTTGTCTCTTCTTTCTTTGACAGAGGGTTAGTTCCTAGTTCCTAAGTCATTAGCCCGCGCCCGGTAATTGGTAACACTCGTGCAGCAGTGTGCAGGAGGCGAGGTTGCGTAGGATCTATCGAAGTGTATCAAATAACACTGCATAAGCCATGGTAATCTTAAGAACAGAGTACAGAGTTCAACTTTAGATTTATAGATTTATACATTGTTTTTGTAATAAGGTGATTTTTAATCAACAGAGGCAATTCTGATAACCTTCGTGGCTGGATTAACATGGCTTCTGGTGACAAACTTGTCGAAATTCGTGTTGCCAATTAAGTTGGCCTCGATTCTCGGCGTAGGTTTCATCATCTTGACAGTCATTAACCACATTGGCAGTTTCATCGCCATTCGTCGTCATGACAACAAGGTGATGGACGTCATGGCGATGGTAAACACTTCCATTATATTGAGAAGGGAAAAGAAAGCATTTTTTGACATGCTCGTGATAATCGTTGTACTTGTCCTGTGTTTAGTTCCGTCTCTTGTATATCGTTGGTTTGACGTAATTCTGTCAGATGGTTTTGAGCCTCTGCAAGTTTTGTCTACAAATCTAATCTACATCAACTCCTCCTTAAATCCAATAATTTATCTTAGAAATGTTGACATAAGGAGGGCGTTAAAATCATTGATACGCTACTGAGTGCATAAGTTGAATCAAATTGTTTCGAGCTTGAAAAGTCGAAACGAAGTAGAAATAATGTACTTGATGTAAACTATGATTTGTTTACTCATCGTGGCTTTAAAGATAAACGCATTTAAATATTTGTTTTTGCGCGATATAAATTCCTAGTCAATTTTTGATTGCGAGGTTTCAACAGCTAAACTGGTGACCTTCGTCAGGAGATGGCATGAGGCCGCTATATTGCAAGTCGCTTTTTTTGCACCACACGGGTATTGTTACGCTCTGACGCGCACCTATTAAAGAATTTTGGTCTTCATCATTTTTCTGCTAAGTGTAGATACATCTTTCCCTCGAAGGACCAATTGTTTCTAATCGATAATGAGTCTCAACATAACATCAGATTAGACTGTCGATAAAAGATTTGGTCAGCCACTATATTTCGTCAAAATCCTCAGACATTTCTAAATAACAAATAAAATGGAGTCACGGAAATGTGCCTGTCAATGATTGGCTTCAGTGTCATTTTACCAAGTTTTTTCGTCGTAAAAATTAAAAAAGCTGAAATAGTTAGAAGCATTTCAAGCTTGCAGGTGTAAAAATAAGACAAAAAGTCAGCGCCAGCACTAAATAACAGAAGTAACAGAACAAGATGGAGAAACTGTCAGCATTTTTCAGGGTAACATGGTCAGTGTAACGTTCACTCTATATAGAGATAAATGCAGGAAAAGAAGATTACGAAATTGCACGGCTTTTATTGATCAAAACTGCGTCCATTTAAAAAATCATCAGTCAAGAAGTACATATCATATTCGCGTGAGCAGCAAGGGAAAACATCTTGAAGATAACACACAGAAGCAGCAATCTATACTTTGACCTTAAAATAAGGCAAGAGCATCTTTTAAAAAAAGTATACATAAGTCGTTGTAATATGATGTAATTGGGACCTATATAGAGCGCTTTTCGATTGAGTGTCGAAAAACTAACACCAAAGTAACCGCAACGGCTGGTAAGAGCAAAGGAGGAAATAACATGAAGCCAGTGACAAGCAAGGAAACTTTCTGAGGTGCAAGAAAACATGACTGAGCAGGTCGAGATCGTTTGAGTTTTGCATCGTATTGGTTGAGAGAATGCTGCAAGTTTTTATACCAATCTTATAGGGCGTAGAGAAGGGAGACTTCTGAATGCAATTTTCTGGATTGTTTTCGACACTCATTTAAAAATTGCGCTGTTGCATGATACCCGAGCGGCATGTGGGGAAAGGGAACATGATGTGTAGGTGTGTATCACGTGTTTATAGTCTCTTTCGCAGCAGTCGTTTAGATCTTGTTGCTGAGGAAGAGAACACGTTGCTTGACACTAAGGCTGCTAAGGAAACTAGACGTGTTTATGACAATCAAAAATGATTAAGCCTTCTAGATCTGGTCTAAATTCCGTAACCATTTTGAAGAAAGGTCTACTATGGAACCATCAAGATCAAAATTTCTAAGTAATTTGTAAATATTAACAACCATAGAAATAGCTAGTGTTCTCGAATTTTGCCTTAACCCTCCTCTAGGACTCGTCAAATTTGTCCTTTTCCTCCAAGCATAACCCTCTGTTGGCGAGAAAAGACGGTAAACATACACCTCAAGGGCGTAGACGAAGGACGGGGGGTCTGCACAAGCATATTCCTGACTTTTAGGGGGTATGCCAGGATGTTGTATTGGTTTAAAAATGATCGGTTCTTGAATAGAGGCAGAAAAATTTCACCACGAGAGTGCCTCCCCCTTGGCTACAACCCTCTTGCACCTTTTGCAAACGGCTATCGATTTTCTACTAGACTATGAAATTTAACAGATTTTGAACTAAAGTTTTAAAAGATGCAAAATTAAAAAGCTGATACCATTATGACGGCAAGTTTGTATGAAACTGAATCATTGTGTAAAATCATGCATGGACCATCAACCTCCATTAGAACCTGCACGCTGAGCCCCGAACTTTGCACTTGCACATAAGGGGCATAAATGACTTGGAAATGACCATAGCATATGTCAATAACTGGCGTGGAATAGCAAAAATCCAATTCCACACACATATGTTTCCAAACAGAGCCACTCGCGCGTAAAATAAGCTTTCTTATTATAACGTGACGACAGAAGGTCGCTAGATTTTAGTGACTTTAAACTCGCTGTACATTATTCAATAAATGTCCCTAAGGATCGCGCCAATAAAAAAAGAGCGACAAAGCATAAACATCTACAAGTCTATATCCATGTCTGAAGAATCATTTTCATCATCGTCATCATCTTCTCCATCACCTGACACGCTATCACTGGGACCCGTCCCGTAAAATGTTAGCTTCCATTCTAAAAACACCCCTGAACTAATTCTACCAGATTCTGGGTTTAATCCTGGAACAAACTCCTCTTGAAAACCATTATTGACTTGCACTCGCTGAGATCCAGTCTCTTCCGTTGTAACCTGAACACGCTGTCCCTGATAATCAGTATCCGTTCGTTTTGTCTGGGACGCCTTCGTTTGATCCTCAGGCTCATTCGTGTAAATATAACGATCGTATCCGTAAACTTGATCATTCTCGTCGTTACCTACATCCTCGTTACTAAGTGTCTTTTTCGAGGCTCTGTCTATTTGGTAGTTATTATCTTGTGACGTTTCTTCCGGTGTTTCGAATGCAGCAACAAAAGCACCGGGGTTTTCATTCATACCCACCCCCTTTTGGAAATCCTCCGGAAGAAAGGTACCGAACATCCCGGGCTCATACTCTCCCCATGTGTCTGCCTCCATATTGCCAGGCACTTTAAAGAAAATGATAAAATTAATTAGGCGTTCATAAGGACACCAGTTTCATTTGTATGTGTAAAGTGCACGTCCAATCCAAAGAAATACGTGAATCTAAGAGACCAGTCCGGGGGAGGGCTCTGAGTGTCACGATAAAATTTACCTGGTCCACCTTTAAGGCACTGAAATGTTCTTATGACACCC